TAGGTAAATATCTCTTGAGAATATATTTTATTATGAATAGTGGTTAAAAGATTATAAAAAGTATTGTAGCTTTCTCTCTTCTTTACTTCTACTTATTTGAGGCAGGTATTGTATTTAAATAAAGACTTTCATCATTCTAAAAATCACAATGAATAACATTTATACTAACTACAGTTAATTTTTAGTATGTAATGAATGCTAGATTTTCTTGTTCTTTCATATAAAAAAATCAAATTACCACTTTTTCGGTTTCTTTATCTATGTTGTCCTTATTAAAGTTATTTGAAATTATCTTCTATGTCTAAAATACAAAGTTTTCACTAATTATAATGTAATTTCCACTTATTTTTACCTCTTGTTCAAGTTCTTACTCTTTACAGAATTCACGAATTCAGCTATATTTTTTGTACAATCTTAATCACTATTTTCTTTTTAAAACGATATTGTTTTCTGATTCTGCTTATATTTCCAAATCCAAATATATATTTATTCAAATAAACAACAATAAATAACATCCAATAATAAAACCATTGGTACTACCGAAATAATGACACTTGATGTAAAAATTTATTTGAAGTCAAAGAAACTTTTACGTCCAAGAAATTCACGAATTTATTGACACAGAAATTGATGAATAAATTCATGAATTTCTTCGTGAATTTATTGTTGGTGTAAAGCCCGTATTACATATGTCGCTACCTTTAATGTTCGTAGGACAGAAATTTCCGAGGGAGAATGGCAGTTGTACTACTTAGTACACTAAGAAAAGTAATGAGGAAGTCGTTCAAAACAGTAGTAAAGTTATAGTTACACTGGGAAACAAAGTAATTATTAAAACTAATGTTTTTTACGTAGATCTGTTTTGTATGAATTGTATTTTTTTCTGTAAAATTTAATATAACCCATATATCAATTCATACAAAAAATCAAGAATGATGGTCGGAGAATATGCAAACGTTAGTCAACAAGAAGAAAACTGCTTATCAGAAATGGATGTCAACAAGAAAGGAGGAAGATTACAAGATATATCAAAAATTAAATCGAGATGTAAAAAGAGAAGTAGTGAAAAGTAAAAATGAGATGTGGGATTGAATATGTGCAGAGGTGGAAACGTATATGGGTGGAACAAGAGTTGGGCTAACTTGGAAGGTGATAAAGTCTCTCCAGGAGGAAGGAAAGGAAAAATCTAACTTACAGTTAATAGATCTGAAACAGTGGAAACACCATTATGAGGTCTTACTGACAGAGGATAGATGTAAATTCCAAGAGATCGAAATGGAAGAAATATCCGAACACACACAAATAATTGAGATAATAACCGGAGAGTTAAACGATGCCCTCAAAAAATCGAAAAACGGTAAAGCAGCAGGACCTGGAGACATCTCAATTGAGTTGGTAAAGTATGGACCAAAAATATTACATGAGAAGTTGGTTCAACTATTTAACAAATGCTTAAAAGGACAAAATATCCCTAATGATTGGAATTAGATACATCAGCTCAATATTCAAGAAATGGGGAAACGCAAATGCTCTAATTATAGGGGAATTACTGTTATCAGCTTAGTGGGAAGGTTGTACGGTCTAATAATAAAAGAAAGAATAGAATCAGAATACGAAGACATATAAGACGAAAATGGATTTCGTGCAGGAAGATCGTGCACTGATGGTATATTCGTTCTGCAGCACGTAATCGAAAAACGGACGGCAAGGAATCTATCTACTCACCTATTGTTTGTAGATTTAGAGAAGGAATGCGATACGGTACCTTTGAAAAAACTGTTTCAAACATTGACGAAAGTAGGTCTTAGTAGGTAGTATGTGGATGCTATCGCAAATATATACAAAAATGCAAGAAGTGTCGTTAAAGAAGGAAACTTTATATCTGAATAATTTCCAATAACAAAGGGGCTTAAACAAGGATGTTGTCTATCCCCGACCTTATTTAAAATATATACTCGATCATCGCTAGATCAGTGGAGGAAACAAGTATCCGGAATAGGAATAGACCTATGTGGTGGTAAATGTCTAACAACTTTATTTTTCGCAGATGATCAGGTAGTCGTAGCGAATGATGAGAAAGACATGGACTACATGTTTGGAAAACTAAAGAAGAAATATGAAAATATGAATATGTCAAAGACAGAGTATCTTAAAATAGGAAAAGATGAAGAAAATCCAGAGTTAGAAATTAGAAACACAAAAACATGCAATGAATATAAATATCTCAGATCTATAATATCTAAAGAAGGCACTACCAAAAGAGATATCGAAAACAGAACGCAGCAGGGAAAAAAGTGGTTAACATTCTAAACTCTCTAGTATGGTCTAAAGATATTAGACAATAAACAAAATTGAAAATCTATCGAACCTTGCTAAAGCATATTATGACTTATGGGGCAGAAGTTTGACAGATTACGAAAAAAAGATAGAAAAAGAATAGAAGTAGTAGAAATAGATTTTCTAAGGAGAGCATGTATTGTATCCAAAAAAGATCATATCAGGAATGAAGTTATTAAAAGGAGGACAAATACTGTATATTCCAGTGTAGACAGAATTGAAACGAGACAACGAGTGTGGTATGGTCACATGAAGCGAAACAATGAAGATAGATGGACAAAGAAAGCTTTAAATTACATACCACAACAAATAAGAAGAAGGGGAAGGCCTTCAGTTGCCTGGGAAGAAAATGTACACTCATGAGAGATAGAGCCACCAAAGAAGACAAATGGATGGACAGAAAACGATGGCGGTCGAAATGCGAGAGGTGGCAGAGGCTGTAGGAACCTCGCTTATATTTATTTATTTATTTGTATCAATTCTGTACTGATGAGTAAAAAGGTCTTAAGTCAAAAATATCGATTTGTTTTTTTAAACAAACAAATTGAAGTACTATTCTTAAAAGTATTTTGGTACGTTAGAAAACCGATAAAAAGCGATTGAATTTGAGAGTTAATTTTAAAATAGAAATGAAAATCAGTCGGTTTCTATTACTTTTTATCGATTTGAGGTATTAAAGTATGTATATGTATATACACAAATATGTATAACAGTATTATTCTGTTTTACTAATAAACAACACAAACGAAACATCATTTCTCAATACGTAAACAACCTTCAGTTTTTATAGATTGACAGATAAACTATTTAGCGCATGGCGGATTCTCATAGAAATTTGGATTGCGAAAAGCCCTTCGTTTCGCTTCTTGTTGGGTGATGTATTCTGTATACTGTCTATGTTGTGCTATGTATATATACTAATTATGACATATCGTTGTAGAATCGTACAGAAAACCTTAACAATTATCAATATCAATATACTAGAGGAGTTTGACAAGGATATATTCTTGCTGCTATTTTATCCGATGCTTACAGTAGCTATCAATTATCTTCTCTTTTTGAGGGCTTCTATTCATTGGACTATTAAAATATATATTTTGATTGAGCCGCCTGTACTGTTTTACTTAATTTCCTTAATGGTTTAGACAATCTTCCTGCCGAACTTTTTAAAAATGATGGTGACACCCTTTTTAAACACATGCATAAATTAGTAACCGAAATCTGGCAATAGAAGGAAACGCCCGCAGACTGGAAATTAGGTGTAATGCACCCTCTTCACAAAAAGGGAGATATGATGGTGTGTGATAATTATAGAGGCATCATCCTATTTAACGTGGCATATAGAGTATTGTCCAACGTATTGTACAGAAGATTGATGGTGAACAAATAGTTGGATACTACCAGTGCGGTTTCCGAAACAATAAATCAACAACAGATCAAATCTTCTCAGTCAGGCAGATTCTTGAGAAAACGCTTGAGTTCGGAGTCGACACCCACCACATATTCGTTGATTTCAAAGCCGCATACGACTTCTACAGGCTATGGTGGAATTTCAAATGCCACTTCATCTTGTTCAACTAACGGAACTTACACTCACAGGCGTAGAGAGTGTAGTCAGAATCCAAAACGACTTTCCAATACCCTTCCATTGTAAAAATGGACTGAGACAGGGAGATGAACTGTCGTGTCTCTTATTTAACCTTGCGCTAGAAAAAGTAATTCGAAATTGCCATATTAATACGAATGGCACCATCTCTGGTGAATGGAACTGAGAAACAAAAAACCAAGTATATGTATTGTACTAGATCAGGCAACCAGATATCTAGACTATTGGAAAGTGTGGACACCTTCGTCTAGCTGGGCTCGCTCCTGACCAAACACAACAATGTCAGCGAAGAAATTAAAAGAAGAATAGTGCTTGATAATAAATGCTATTATGGCTTGAGGAAACAGATGGTCCCTAAACTACCCAGAAAAATTAAAGTTACCATATATAAAACACTAATAAGACCAGTGTTAACATACGGGTCGGAAACATGGTCACTTACACAGAACGACCAAGAATTGCTTAAACGTTTCGAGAGAAAAATTCTAAGGAAAATATATGGAGGAGTCCAAGAACAGGGTTTGTGGCGTAGGCGCTACAACTTTGAGTTTGAAGTTTTGGGGAACCTGACGTTGTAAAATGTATTAAATTAGCACGCCTTCGATGGATTGGACATGTAATTAGGCGAGATGAAGATGCAACGATCAGAAAAATCTTAAACCGAAGAGGACCAGTGGGAAGACGAGCCAGAGAAAAACCAAAACTTAGGTATTAAGATAACATAGATGATGGTCTAAAATCCATCGGAGTTAAAGCGTGGAGAAGAGCTGCCAGAGACAGGGGCGAATGGAAGATTGTTCTGAACAAGGCTTTGGCTCATAACGAGCTGTATTGCTACTGATGATGATGATAGAATATTAGATTGAGCTGTAAATATTGTACAAAGTATAGTGTTCTTTCAAAGACACCTGAGAATCTCTATAATGAAACGTACATTTAAATCATGGACCCGCTTTTTAGGTTATACTCAATGATACGTCCCGTTAACCTCACAACTGGTTCCAGACTAGCAAGGTATGATCTATTTCAGTATATTAATTCACATTTTCGTTTCCAGGTCATCACCAGTGGTGGGGTAACTTACAAGAACGAACCCTGGCATAGGGAGTGCTTCACTTGCACCAACTGCCAACGCAGCTTAGCAGGTGAACGTTTCACGTCCCGCGACGACAAGCCTTACTGCGCCGAATGCTTCGGCGAACTGTTCGCCAAGCGCTGCACCGCTTGCAGAAAGCCCATCACTGGTATTGGCGGCACCAAATTCATCTCTTTCGAGGAACGCCACTGGCACAACGATTGCTTCTTCTGCGCTTCCTGCAAGACCAGCTTGGTCGGACGCGGATTCATCACCGATCAGGACGACATCATCTGTCCGGATTGCGCCAAGACCAAGCTTATGTAAATTCGTTGACGGGTGTCAACGAGATCGCGGCTGTCAACTGTCATCGATGCCATATTGTTGACAGCTGTCAACGAGGTTGTGAGGTTGGGAAATTTGAACGGTAGGTTGACAAAAATCACAAAATACTACATACTTTTATATGTTTTTAGCAAAGAAACGACATTAAATGATAAATAAAAATATTTGTAATCATCTTTTATTTAGGTATAACGTATGAAAAAATACATTCTAGATCATATGTGTCACATATCAATTGTTTAGGGAGAATAATGTACCGAGGTAAAAAAAGTACATATCAAAGTCAAAATAAATGATTTTGTCAACCTACTATTAGATTTTTGAGTGTTAAATCAAATATATGGATTTTTCTATTTAAATTACTGTGAATATTTTTTAAAGTAATGTCACACAAACACATACTATCTTACACTCGCGGCGCAATTGGGTACCATTTTTTAGTTGTAAAAAACAGTACTTAATTCCCCCAAACACACACAAATTCACGCACACAATGACATTTTATAAACAGAAAAAATTAATAAAAAATTTCTTAAAAAAAAGGACAAATCAGGTACGTCGGGGTAAGTGCCATAGATGAAAATTTCATTATATAGTAGCACTTAGTATAAATGTATCCTGTTTAGTACATTTCATCATTCATTTTATCCTAACAAATTTCCCTGTCGAACACCAATGTCCAGTTTAAAATTCATACACTTTTTGGGCACCATATCATTGCGCATGACCGCAGTCATCTCAGCCTGTTCGTTTTTTGCGAATAGGCATGAAGTGCACAATTTATGGAATCTTTGAAAGTTACTGCTATAAAAGTCTTTATATTGATACCGTCTTTACCTGTATTTTCAGTACGTACTAACGAATAGGCACTGATCAAAACCAAAAGAGTCCAAATAATAGTCGAAACCATAACCAACTAATTTTTCCGCTATTGCTTAAAACCTGATGGTAAAAATGATCACTTACCCCGGTCGCACCTACAAATTTTATTTTATTTTTTTGAATATGTTTAACCTTAAAGTTTTTGACAATTTAGTTATGTATCTATCGTTAATTTCTTATTTAGTTTATTGTCAGAGGTCTATTAATTTAGAATGCTTATTTATTTTTATTTTTTTACATTTACAGACTACTACTACTAATTTTTAAATCGCTTCTAGCTTTTGAATTTTCGATGTATCACATAAGTTGGTTGAGCAATAAAACGATTGATGATGTAGCCATATTCTAAATAAGTAAAACATTGCCTTATTCTGATATCGTATAATAAGTGTTAATATATCAATTAAGAAAATCTGCGGCTAGTTCGACAAAAAAAATCAACAGCTTAAATCAATCTTGCCGTTGCTGTTTATCACCGTTCTCGTGCATCATAAACGTAAGCGATAAACGACCAATATCGGTGCGCATGCGATAAACGACCAAAATCGCTGCGCATGCGATAAACGGCAAAAATTGACAGGTCAGCGATAAACGGCAACGAACTGCAATGGCTGCACAATTAAAAAATTATTGCTTAAAACTTAATTCTAGTTTGCTTCTCTGTGTGGCACAAACGAGCAGATTTAGTTGACTAGTTCTTGAATTTTTTTGTCGACGCAAATTGTTAGTGGGCGTTAATATATTTTATTTGTAATTTATGGAAACTTTTTAAGCGTTTGTTGTAGATAATATTTTATGTATACAGCTTTATAGCATTTACATACGATGGAAGAGCAATTTTGGTGCTATTTGAGTAGTTTAGAAATTTTGATTAATCCTTAAATGGTTGGAATCTTAATTTGGTTGTTGCATATTATTGTATTTATCAATGCTTGGATTTATATTAACGAAAAAATTGTTATTGATAATTTATTTAGATGTTAACCAGTTTCATGTATATTTTAATCTTGTTTTAAGTACTTGTAACCAATGGGAATGTTGTGAAAAACATTTATTGTTATAAGAATCATTGAAAACATCAAGAGCTTTGCTTTTAGGGACATCTGTTATATTTTATTCTTTAATAAATTCTTTAAAAAACGGTGTTTTTTTTCTTATTTTGGGTATCTACTGTTATAAATAGGTTGATTTAGTCAACAGTTTGCAGATGACCAGGAAGTACTGTCTGGAAATACAGTAGACATGGAATATATAAAGAAATCTTCAAAGATTGGAGACTAACTATAAATATTGAAAAGAGCAAATATCTACGCATAGAAAGGGAAAGCTGTAGTCTATATTTGGAAAACCTGGAAAGCATGTAAAGAGTATAAATATCCAGGGGTTACTATGGACAAACAAGTTCAGACGACAAAGAAATAAGAACGAGAGCAAAATACAGGCGAGGAAAGCAATTCACTGTCTGAACGGAATTCTCTGGAGCAAAAAATAAAACAAAGCTTAGGAAATACAATACACTAGATTCGCGATTTTGCCAAAATGAAGATCTGGTTATAGTAAATACCTTATTTGATCTACCTAAACGTAGACTATACACGTGGAAATCACCAGCAGACCGAGAATCACACATCGTCAGAAACCAAATAGACTTTGTCTTGATCAGAAATAGGTTTAAAAATTCAATAAAATCAGCAAAAACTTATCCAGGTGCCGATATATACTCGGATCACGTCCCTATTATTGTCGAAATGGAAGCAAAATTAAAAAAGTTAAAAAACAAAAAGATTAGAAAAGAATTCGATGTGACAAGATTAAAAGATACTCAGATAGAACAAAGAGTTAGACAGAAAATCAATGATAATCTTAAACCCATCAAGTCAAAAAACACCAACTCTAAAGACGTAAATGAAAATTGGAGAGAGGTTCGACAAGCTTTAAAAGAAGCGGGAGAAGAAATACGTGGACCAATACCAAAGAAAAGACATATGTGGATGACAGACGAAATACTAACTCTCATGAATGAAAGAAGAAAATATAAAAACATAAACACTAGCAAATACAAATCCTTAAACAGCAGGATTAGAAAAGACATAATAACAGCAAAAGAAAGATGGCTAACTGAACAGTGTCACGAAATAGAAGAATATGAAAAGAAATATGATAGTTTCAATATTCATCGGAAAGTGAAGGAAATGACGTCGGGAAAACAAAATAATATACATGTTATAAAAGACTCGAATGGTAACATTCTCACAGATACAAAACAACAACTAAACAGATGGACAGAATACATAAAAGAACTATTCGGGGATGACAGACAACAAATCATAGATGAGGACTCTGGTGAATCGGGACCAAAAATTTTAAAACAGGAAGTTCAATACGCATTAAAACAGACAAAAGGGAAAAAGGCCACAGGTCCGGATGAAATCCCGATTGAGTTTCTTAAACTGATCGATGATGAAATGATAGACATTCTAGTAGAACTTTATGATCATATTTATCAAACAGGTATTTTACCAAAGGAGTGGTTAGTATCCACATTCGTAATTATTCCCAAAAAGCAAAATGCAAAAGAATGCTCAGAACACCGTACAATTGCATTAATGAGCCATGTTTTGAAAGTATTTCTAAGAATAGTCCACAACAGAATTTACAGAAAGCTGGATGATGAAATTAGTGATAGTCAGTTAGGCTTTAGAAACGGCACGGGAACCAGGGAAGCATTGTTCGGTATAAATGTGCTCATGCAAAGAAATCTGGATATGAACCAAGACATGTATACATGTTTTATTGATTTTGAAAAAGCATTTGACAAGGTACAGCACAATAAACTAATTAATATTTTAAAAATTAAAAACATCGATAGCCGCGACATCAGAGTAATCTCGAACCTCTACTGAAACCAGAAAGTCAAAATAAGAATTGAAAATCAAATGTCGGAAGAAATAGAAATTCTTCGGGGTGTGAGACAGGGCTGTGTATTGTCACCACTGCTGTTTAATATATATAGCGAAGCCATTTTCCAAGAAGCTTTAGGAGAGTGTAACGATGGAATGATAATAAATGGTGAAATTATTAATAATATAAGATATGCCGATGATACTGTCATATTCACTTCAACTCTGCAAAGTCTAACAAACATACTGGAACGGCTGAATGAAAAGTGTACCATATATGGTATTAAAATGAACTTAAAGAAAACAAAATTCATGGTCATTACAAAACATCCAAAAGACAACGAGACACTCCAAATTAATAATATCCAGATAGAAAGGGTAGATAAATACAAATATCTAGGAACATTGGTTAGTCAAAACGCAGAACAAACGCGAGATTAAAAGCCGTATAGAAATAGCAAGGGCAAAATTTGTAAAAATGAAACATCTATTGTGTAGTAGAGACCTAAGAATGGATCTAAGGATAAGGTTATTGCGCTGCTACATTTTTACAACTTTGCTCTACGGATCTGAGGCATGGACATTGAAACAACTGGAGATTAAGAAATTGGAAGCTTTTGAGCGTTGGTGTTATCGAAGGATGCTACGAATAGCATGGGTAGACAAAATTACCAATATTGAAGTCCTTGATAGGGTTAATAAGAGGGAAGAAATTGTACAGACAATTAAGAGGCGGAAACTTGAATATTTCGGTCATATATTAAGAGGTCCTCGTTATGGGCTACTACGTTTGATTATAGAGGGCAAAATAAAAGGTAAAAGAGATGTAGGAAGAAGACGAACCTCCTGGCTACGAAATCTAAGGGAATGGTTTAGTCTGAGCTCTAGCCAACTATTTAGAGCTGCTGTGAGTAAAATAAGAATTGCCATGTTGATATCCAACCTTCGTTAGAAGATGGAACCTTAAGAAGAAGAAGAAGATTCGCGATTATAGAGGTAATTGGAACCGTGACTACGTCAGATACCGAAAAAACTCGGTTAATACTGAGATTGGTTATACTGATAGAAAAATGTATAGATACCTACGTAAATAATGATTAATGTGTTTATTTTAATAACTAAAAACTAATATAAAAGTAGTATAGAAGATAAAAAAATTTACCTTATAAATGTTACTGTTCAAAAGAGTCTGATGGATTT